TCACAATCTGAAGAGTTAACTTTAAAGTCGATCCAATGACTTACTTTAAATTTTTCTTCGATACTACCGAACAGACGGTCTAAATCGTTCAAGCCTCGTCGAAGTATGACGTCAGCTGGTATGCCTCGAGTCTGGATACGAAATAGAATCTGGTCTTCCAAAGGATTTGGTACGTTGTAGCCACAAAATTCAACTTCAGGGCTAAAAAAGGGTATAGGGCTAACGCACATTTCGAAATGAAGACAAACTTTTCAAATCAGATGTTGAAGTTCATACTATTAATTCAGTAACATCCTCCAGAAGATGCTGCATTCCTGCAATGCCCCCTCTACTTAAAGCGAAATCCGAGAGAAGTTCATACATTTGCCCTTCAGAACTGGCCCATAGTATCCTACCTCTCCTTCAGTAACGTTTTCTTGTGCATAAACTAGTCAATTTACCACGCCCTCTTACTACTAGGTTAGGACTTAACCAAATATCCAATGCTCTCAGTAGCTCAATCGGTACAGCATCAGACTCCCAGTCGAAATATTGCTGGTTTACGCTCCAGTGAATTGCTAGCTTTTCATCCTCCTAAGCAGAAAAATAAATACTATTTTAGATGGCAGAATTAGGACAATATATATAATAATATATAATGAGTTAACCGTAGATATGGCATGAAAAAAAGCAACATGGGGTGCTCGATTAATGATAAGCAATGGAGATCTGTCACAAAATAATTTTCAAATGACGCCCTACAAAGGAAGTGTTAGAGACGGACATAGCAGCAGCAGCAATCTCTTATTCTTTCTCTTTGTGCCTACCACAGCGTTTGCGGAGCATACGTGCAAAGTTACAAAGTTACGTCTTAGAGAACGCATTTTTTGCACTGCTTCAAACTAATATAATGCCAGATTATTGGAACCAAGTCGGGATTAGAAGACTGAAACTTTATTTGGATGGATGAGTTATAAATCTTTCTGTAATATATCGAATACGTTCAACTCAAAAACATAACTGCCATAAGAACGATCAAACTATTAATCATATCGCTGGTGGCACATAATAGGAGCTACAGCATTGTATGAACGGTCCAGTCACAGCCTATGATCGATACTTAATATCAATTCTCATTACAGACAACAGTGGAGAGAAAATTCATTGAAGTGGCTACAGAGCAGTCAAGCTAAATACTGCATGGTTCAAAAAACTTCTCTTGTTAAACCAACACCAGTGATTATCTACCGCATCAATGATAGCAG